TATATATATATATATATATATATATATATATATATATATATATATATCACATAAATAAAGTTTGCTGTAGACTGGAACTTCTAGATGATCTCTAGTTAATGTACATGTTTTTTGAAATTTAGCAGCCACGGCATCATTGCTTATAATGTAATCCCAGAACTCAAGGACTAGGTATCAAAATTAACTGGGTGCATTTTAAAATATAGATTCCTGCATTAAAATACCAGGCTCAGTAAATTATAAGAAAAGTCGTGGTCATGGGATCCTCATTTTAACTCATTTTTTAAATGGTTCACTGCCATCAGTCTTCATAGATGATTTGGCAATGTGTTGTAGTGTTTAAATATACGGTAAAATACTTTTCTATGCTTTTCCAAGGCAATTCCAGCACAAAAAAAAACTAAACAATTGTTCATATAGTTAATGTATTTGAATTTCCCTATTCATATTCTTGGTTGTTGGGATTAGGATAGATTTTATTTCACTCAAATATATTTTAATTACATTTAAATTGCAAAGCCAAATTTAACTGTTCTGCTTTTCCTCAAAATATATAACTTTAGGATAAACTACTCAAAACAGAAAGAAAAAACACTATAAATTGTGAAATACTGAATTAAATGCACTTAAAGTATCAAATATTTGTGATTTCCTATTTGGGACACATGACACAGTCGTGTTCCATTCCATTTCCCAGCCCTCATGTGATTTAGATAGAGAGAGAAAAATGATTGTGGCCAAGCAGTGTGGTGCTGTAGCCAGATCATTTAGTTGCCAGCATTCCTTCTTCCTTGAGTCTTTTTCCATATTTGACATGGCAGCTCCCCTGTTGTCCTGTTTGCCCAAGCTGCTATGATTAGTAGCACTGTCATGCCAGCCCATAATAGGCATTTAGACTGAGAGAGAAATACTCTTTTGTAACTTTAACTTATTGATTCCAGGGCATAACACAAAGAATCTTTGCAATCATTAGGTTTCCTAACAGCATGGAACACCTCACCCCGAGAGGACTTCTTCTCTATTCAGAAGACAGATAATTGAACTAACTTGCATTTGTTGTTGTTCTTCTTCAACAAATTAGGAGTGTTTATTGATATTTTGACCATTGACAATAAAAAGATGGGCGTCGTTTTCATTTTCTCAAACAGTTCACCACTAGGTGGTTTAACAATTTAAAATAAAAAGAAAAATAATAAAAATGAAATTGTAAACCAATTGCCACACGACACAAGAGTAGAGATGATTTTTTTTAACAGTCACATGCATAGCAAAGTAGCAGTAATTTGGGGGAAGTTACTTCTCCTTCTCCTTTGAGGATTATGGCCATGTGTCTTAGAAGATGCTTTGCTACAGAGGAAATACATTGGCCCTCTCTACTTGGCAGATGAAGTGTAGTCCTGCCAAATTAAGTATTGTGAACAAGTGGATTCTACGATGTTAGCATTAGCCTGATGCCGCTATTTCTGACAGTTTGCTCACATAGTCAGGAAGCGATTTCTCCAGATTTCTAGCCAATCATCCCTTTTCTAGTCAATGAATAACTATCTACAACAATTGTTTGTGATTTACCAGGCTCCAACATGGAGTTTCATACGACAGTATTAAGGCACTGGAGTATAATTTTCCAATCAGAAATTGGAATCAGGGCTAGCATAAAAAGTGTATCATTGATTAGTGCTCCATAGAGATTTACGTTCTCCAGCATGCAGATTAAAGATAAACTAATATACCAAAGGCTCTACTTAAGGAGCTTTTTAAAGTAAATTATAGACAATAACAGTCAATTAAGCATTTTGGGTTATTGCCCCCTGTGTCCTTTTAGGGATACAAAAGCAACAAAGCTTCTATCATTTTATTCAATAATGCAAATGTATTTGTTAACAGTACAATGATTTTATTATCAATGTTTAGTACTAGTTTATGTCATTAAGCAGACCAATAATTATTTGTACATGAGCTAAAGAGATGAACTGATTTGTATCCCTGGAACTCAAAGAGAAAATTGACTTCGCAAGCATGACCTCTGTCCTCCACGCATGTACTGTGGCATGTGCATACCTACACACGTATATATCAAACACATCCATGCGTATTCACACAATAGCAATAAACATAAAAAATGTTAAAGAAATTACTTCTTCATTGAACAAAATACATGCTATATATGTACATGAGCAAACATATAATTTAACTATTCATGTATTTTAATAAAAAATTAGACCATATCAGCTTGAAATGAAAATGTTGAAACATTGGGTTATAATTTTCCATTCTGCTTTTCTGTATTTTCCTGGTCTGGAGAGTAACCTTACGTAATGTTTGAGTTTCCAAATATTATGCCAGCTCTGGATGAATTAGGTCAACAGAGGAAAACATGCTTTCCCCTGCCTACATTAACATTCTGCTCTCTGAAAAACTGGATTCCCTCATCAGTCATCTTGCTAATATTACCACTTAGAACAGAATTTAAATGGGAGTTATAAAGCCCCCAAATCTGCACTTCATTTAAAATTATTCTATTTTGCGTTATGAATAAATAATTTTGGAAGGAGATGACAAAAATGTGGAAAGAAATGAGTTATAAATATATAAAATGATTTATGTTTAAAGGTTAAAAACGTATTTGAAAGAACATATTCAACATTGCAATCTAACAAGCTAGACTTTCATTTTATATTTCAAAATTGTGTTGTGAATGTAGCCTCTCTTTGATAAATAAGTAATGCCTGTTTTTGAAAAGGTGTTAATATACTAATAGACATTTAAAATATCAATAGGCAGAATTTTGTACATCTATCCACAGGCCAATAATTCATTTATGAAATAATTTTACCATTTAATAAACAATAATCATGGAAACAACAGTACAATATGACTTCATAGAATTCTAACGATAGTGGGCTTACTTTAATAGTTTAATTTGTATTCCTCTGAATTCCAACATCTATGAGTCATTTATTTTCAGTCTCATAAGTTGTTACTAGTAGTAAAGAACCTTTTGATATATTTTACAGGTGTGTTTATATTCAGGGTGCTTAATCTGAAAGATGTTAAAAATGGAATTTTTAACTTTTAGCAATGTTATTTTAGTAAGGATACTTTAGTTTTAAGCCCTCTTTGAAAACAAGTGTGAACAATTTAGATACTGGTTCAGGAGTATTCTTATGAGTGATAATACTTCAATGTCTTTCTGTTCTATTCAGGTACTGACTATCAAGATGATATTATGAAAGGATAACTCCAAAATAACAGTAAGTCTTAAATATTTGCTAGTTCTGTCATTTAATTTGCTAGTTCTGTCATTTAATGTTGCACTGTAATACACCATATACCCTATTGGGTGGCTTTTGTCATTCTACATTTATAAGTCTTAATCGGATGTAAAATTTAAGCGAGAACCCTAGACTCTAAGGTACTTGTGACAAGCCATAATATCTTAACCCATTTTTTTTCATAGTAGTCTTGAATTTGGCAACCTTTTTGATGAATGTCAGTGAAACTAATTACTTTCCCATTCAATGTCCATTTCCCTTGAAAGCCTTATTTTCCTTTTTTTAATAAATGCTTTCAATCTCAGTGACATTACAGCAACATTACAGTATTATTTCCCTCTAATGTGTTGAATGATATTCACAATATAGTTAAATGTTGTCAATAGAAAGAGCTACTAATTAAACTTAATAAAATTTGATGATAGAAGTCCTTTTGTATTGACATTGTGAGACTCTTCTTAGATGTAATAAAGTGCTTACAACCAATCTTTATACACTGGCATTGTTTTTTTGGAATCATGACTACTAGTATGCTTATTATTTGAAATGTAATGTTAAATTATCCATAAACTTACTTCTAGCATAGACAGAGGCTACAAGATAAATAGATAATAGACAGCTAGAGAGAGAGAGATTTGATAGCTAGGCAATGATAGACGACACATAAATAGATCAATTGATTAGTAGATAGATACATAGATAGATACATACATACATACATAGAGACATTGATAGAGAGATAGAAAGATGGAAGGATGGAGAATGGAAGCAGGAAAGAGAGAGAGAAACTGTCAGGTACAGTAGATGGTAAAAATATTGCATTTTTATTGGTGTTGGAAAATAAACTTAGGGTTTTCATGTGCTCAAAAGTACTCTACCAGAGAGCAATATTCCCTGCACAAATATCAAGCTTTTTCTCCTTAATCATTAAAATAATTTAAAATATGTGTTTGGCTTAATTGACCCCTACTATCATAAAGTACTGTTTCATTTAAATGAATTTATGTTCACTCTTGACATTAAATATTCTGTTCATTCATAAAATTTGTTGCTCAATGTATACTTAATTATTTACTCAAAAAATAGAAAAATATTGTCAAATCAAAAGCAGACAGTAAATTTAATTATACAAACTTGTACATATATGTGTGTTAAAAAAGATTATATGAACACATAGTAACATATCATTATTTTATAGATATATAATTCTGTAATATCCAATGTAATTTGGAGTAATTAAATGCATATCTATCTATATATATATATATACACACACACACATGTATCCATAAAAGTATAATAAACAAATTGCTTAAGTATATACAAATATTTAAATATGAAGAGATATAATTATACGTAAATATATAACTACTCCTTGATAAAGCTTAAAATATTAGCCCTCTGTCAGATAGAGGCAAAGAGGATGGACATCAGAAGAAGAAAACAGGAAACAAGTTAGGAGCCTCCCACAGAGGGCTTCTGAAAGGCTCTGCCCTGCAGACTATCAAAGCAGATGTTGAAACTTAAGGCCAGACTTTGGGCAGAATGCAGGGAATATTATGAAAGAAATGGGAAATAGTAAGATCTGGAGAGGAAGGAGGTCCACAAGGAGAGCAACAGAACCAAAAAATTTGAACACAGGGGTCTTTCCAGAGACTCATTCTCCAACCAAGTACCATGCATGGAGATAACCTAGAACCCCTGCACAGATGTAGCCCATGGCAGTTCAGTGTCCAAGTGGGTTCCATAGTAATGGAAACAGGGACTGCTTCTGACATGAACTGAGTGGCCTGATCTTTGATCACCTCCCCCTGAGGGGGGAGCAGCCTTACCAGGCCACAGAAAAAGACAATGCAGCCACTCCTGATGAGACCTAACAGACTAGGATCAAAAGGAAAAAAAAGAAACCCTCCCCTACCAGTGGACTTGGGGAGGGGCATGCATGGAGAAGGGAGAGGAAGGAAGGGATTGGGAAGGGAGGAGGGAGGGAACTGGAGGGGGGGATACAAATTAAATAAAGTGCAATTAAAAATAATTTAAAAAAAACTTAAAAGAGACATGGCTAAAGGAAAAACTTGTAACACAAGCCAGTTCATCTTTTGGTCATCCTTATGTTGAGGCAGCCAGTGACAGTACGTGGCATGTGTCCCTTTGGATCAATACCATTGAGCATTTCTATGCTCAGAAAGCAAGAAACAAGTTCAAATAGCTCTTGTCACCAGGAAGACGTGCCTTTGTTCATGTGGTTTGTTCTTGCTGACTGAGCACTAAACACAGTGCATTTCAGCTTGATTCTCATAATGCGTTTTCAGATTAATATCTACACAGAGACTCCATAATAACAATCTGCCACCTAAACCATAGAAATGACAGCGACTTGCAAACCTCACAGATGTCTTAATTCTATGTGTAGTAGGCACAGGAAATTACTGATGCCTTTAGAAAATCAGGGAGTTATGAATCAGGTTGTTAGGAGAGTGCTTCCTTTCTGCTTTGTGCTTCAGTGTGATGTTGTGACGGATCTCCACACACCTTGTTGATGTCTGCAGTGGAGTCCATGCTGCTTTGCTTTGGTGAGAAGCTCAGTTGCATTCTCTCACTTAACAGAAAAAAAAAAAAATCTCATCAGTAGAAAAGAATAAGCTGGGGAATCAGCTTCATGATCTTCTATCTCTGGCTCATGGGGAATTCCAGATACTGTGATAACCATGATTAGTTTATCTCTTAGGTTACCATTCTGTGATAACCATGATTAGGTGTGAAATTAGAGCAGAAACAAACTCATCTAAGGGATTACCTAAAGGAACAAAATCCAAGGGAAATAAACATGATAAAATCATGAATAATATTGCTTTATGGAAATGTTAAAAATATTTAGACTGACCTGTCATAAGAAAAGAACATATATTTATCATCAACATAATAGCAATGCATTGTACTGTCCATTAAATATATACTACACATATTTAATGATATTGTACTGATATTTATTCTTCCATGTATTCATACACTTCACAAAAATATGTTGACATTTTATACCTATCATACTCTGAGTTCATTTTGTCTTTATATTGCTAAATTATCTATACCAAAAAAAAAAAACAATGTGTTCTGTAGTCTTTCAGAACTTAAATCCTAGCATAGTAGAGTAAGATTTTGAGGACTGTGTGGGTGGCTGTGTTTAGTTCTGAGCCTAAATCCAAGACAAGAAATGAGGATCAAGCAGATTTAGCTCCACTGAAGCATGAAGACAATGTTGACAAGAATGAGCCAGTTTAAACCATCAATATTTATTAAACACTTACTATAAACCGGGTTCTTTTGTAAATGTTAAGGGTTGTATAGGAAGCAAGCTCTTACATATAAGTGATTGATGAGAAAGTGGAGAGAGAACAGATAGTAAATTTAAAAAATCAAACAAAGGTTTTGATAAAGTTGAATATGTAAAGAAAATAAAAAAATTGGATAAGAGATTAGTGGGAGGGTGTAACATTATTTTAGTTGGGGAAAAAATTAAATTGGTAGTAGCTGGAAAGAGACCTGAAAGTAGAAGAAGGGTATATAGTGATAGTGATTCTAAAAGCAACATTCCAGGTGGAAGGAAAAGCCAGGGGCGCTTTGCAAGGACTGAACAATGCAAGTCATTTAAGCAACAATAAACGCATCAGTAGCATTAGGTGAGCCTCTCTTGTTTCAAATCAAAAAATACTTTTCTTTCTTTATCACATTTATTCATTTCTCTTTGTGTCTCTGTGTGTTTGTGTAAAAATGTGTGAGAAAAATGGTATAATGGTGAGCTTATGGAAGTCATATGACCACTTGAAGGAACTGATTTTCCTCTTCCACTTTATAGCTTCAGGGGTCAAAATGTTTTTCACTTTAATGGTTTCACTGCTCTAGATTTTAAAAAAAAAGTTATTGTAGTTCTTCACATTACAGACACACTCATAATGCTTTTAAACAGAAAGAACTATAGTGAATGATTTATAATTTATTTAACTTTTAAAATAATGTTTTTAACTTAATTAATTTGTATATTTATTCACTTTACTTCTTGATCATAGCTTCTTCCCTCCTCTTCTCCCAGTATCACCCTCCCTCCCTCTACCCTTTCTACCCCTTCCCCCACTCCTCAGAATAGTGGCGCACCCCACGAAAAACGACCCACCCTAGCATATTAAGTGGCCTCAGGCCTGAGCACATCCCCTTCCCCTGTGGCCTTGAGAGGCAGGCCTGCCAGGGGCAAGTGATCAAAAGGTTATTCTTTGAAAGTTTCATACACTTATATAATGTATATTGCTCACATCCATCTGCCATCAACTTTCTTCGACTTCCTATAAGCCTTCCAAATGCCTGCCCACACATTTCACATTCTCCTACTTATTGTGAGTAATGGTCCCTTGAGCTCAGTTACTCCTAACTATATAGTGGTCCCTTATGGGAGGAGGAGGGGCATGAGCAACCTACCTACTGCCATATACTAAAAGAGTAATGACTCTCCTTGGGCAGCCATTAGCAAGACCCTTTCCTCATCCATGATAGAACTTTGACTGGTTTGATCTTGGGCAGGTAACTAAGTTGCTGCGAGTTCATGTATGCAACAGCCATTCACAAGAGAATTAAGTAAAGTATGGAGTCTTTAGTACAATATTGCTATGTGCTGAATTCTATGTAAACGCTGAATTTTAGCTTCTTCCTCTTCAGCATTGTAACTACTGTTTTCATTATCAAAGTTATAATAGAAGCTTTAGGATAGTATCAGCAGAATAGTATTTGCAAACTAGAAACTAGTTCTCTAGTGCTGACATGCATTCTTTAGTTTTCTGAAAGTCACTTACTTTAAATAAGTTTTATAAAGTATAGAGCTCAGTAGTGTTTATTGGTAATTTTTATTATGGGTGTGATATTTTCATTTTCTTTGTGTTGTTTGCTTGCTTGTGTCTTAGCCTGGAGAAGTGTTGCACAGTGCTCATTCTAAC